GCCCCGGCCCGCCGGGGCCGCTCGGACGTATTCCGAGGCGTGACCCGGCGGTGCGGAGAAGGAAAGGAAAACCCTCTAAAAACCCGGAAGGAAAATCGTACACCCGGCTTGGGGCAGCTTGTAAAATAGCCCCAATTATGACGTACCATAATGGTTAAGAAAGGAGAAAACTGCCGGGGTCGGATCCCGGCAAACGGTGGGAGAGGGGGTATTGTCCCAGCCCCCCCTCATCGTCATCGAGCAATGGGCCACCCGGCGCGTGCACCGCAGGCGCGCCGGGGGAATTGGTGCCTGCGAAGGCGAAGGAGCCCGGGAATGGCGCTCAAAGCGCCCCAGGGAGAGCAGAGGAAGTAGAGGAAATCTTCCGTAGCGGATACCGAAACCCGGACATGGAGGAATACTTCGAGTCCACGTTCCTCGATGAGGAATTCGTAGGCGACTCCTCGATGAGCCTGGAATTTATTCCAGAGGCGGCGAAGGAATCCATATCCGAAGATACGAGCACATATATGGATACGGACAACTGCGACTTCACCACTCCGTCCGGACTTACCCGCGCAATAAGCCTGGAGGAAGATGTCAGGAGGAAGTGCGAGAAACTGTTTACAGACAAGTGGAGATTCTCCGGCCCTTACGACCCTTATTATTATTATTATAAGGAGGGGGAGAAAGTGATGCACACGATTGAAGAAAGGCAATCCTTTTATAAGTGGGTGGGCCGTCAGTTCGTCAGGCAATCGGTGGCCAATGGCCTCGATATCGGGTAGGCATGTAAAATGCTATATCCGAATAGATATACCCAGGTGTCCGAGGCGTCCTCGGAAGGAGACGCCATGCAGGTAGAAACACTGCGAATGAGGGGCGGGGTGAGAGGCTCCAGCGCAGGATCGTCATCGACGGAGCCCGGTGGGCCGAACGATACCGGAGAACGGCCCCGGAGTAGGCCGGGCCCCAAATGCTCCAAGGCGGATGCTAAGTCTCTGTCCCATACGGTGGGACCCTCGTCCTCGAGGAAGAGGACGAAGAATCAGCAGAGACAGCAGGCGACTTCTACATCGCCAGAGGAAGGGTCCGAAAAAAAGGCAAGGGAGGAAGACTCCCCCAGAGGTGGGTCCATCACAGGGATGGACAGTGACGACCTGTCTATGACGTCTAGAAGGTCGGCTGGGGTCTCCGGTCGGATTCGCTGGGGCGGGGTCTGCGGGCGGCTCGGTTACGGCCCCGGCTGCTGGCTCTGGCCTGGTCTCCGTGGCGGTGTCCTCGGATGAGAACGCGCTGGCGGAGTCAGGAGGACCGGAAGCACCTCCTATGAACAGGAGGAAAAGAGGAAGGCCGCCGACCACGGGCGCGTACGTGGCGAGATCCGAAGCCCTACGCCGGCGAACAAGGAAGAAGAGAGGAGTCTAACTCTGGCAAGAGATAGACTTTATAGAGAATTGGATGGAGACAAGCTCCTGTCCAAGGCCAAGATTGACTTGGAAAAATGGAAGGAGGATTTCTTGGAGAATCCTGACGAGGAGCTCTCGGAGAGAATCTATAAAGGCCAGATGGAGGTTATCCGGATGGCCAAGGCCTCCGGTAATCTCAAGGGCACGTTCTAGCGTGCCCTTAAAGTGGCGGCGACCTCCACGCTGGGATGTGTGGAGATCTTAAGGGAAAGAGCCGAGAGATCCCAGGAGGGCACGGCGTATGCGGAGATCCGGGCCCTCAGGCGGAAGCTGTCGGAACTGCGGGCAAGGCTCGAGATTCAGCTGGGAGCTGAGCGTGAGAAGGCAGCGGCAGCGGAGGAACGAGCTTCTAATGCAGAAGCCAAGGCCGCGGAATACCTTCGGAAGCTTGAGGCCCTTCGGGCTACGAAGGCTACAGGGAGGTCCTCCCCAGGCACCGAGAGGCCCCGTAGGATGGCAAGCAGGCCTGCGGAAGACCGCATGGACATCGAGGTCCAAGAAGAAGCTAACTCCGAGGAACACCTGGGTTCCTCGGATGAAACCTTGTCCCTGGCGCTTAGGCCCGCGCTACAGGGTAAAAGGTTGATATTGGAGGACCGGCCATCGGAATTGTGATACGAGGCGGTTAAACAAATGGGGAAGGAAACAACAACCCGGACCCAGAGGAAGCCCGGAAAGATGAGCGATGGCCAGTTTCCCGATACATTGCGGGAGACAATTGCCGAGACCATCGCTGCGGAATTGGCTAAAGCCAAGGTCACAACTACCCGGACGGTTGGAGTGAAGCGGGGAGTCGCTTCCCAAAAGAAGGAGAGCGGATACGGAGAGGAAGCCCTTCCACAGTCTCGGCTTCTGAGACAGTACGGGAAGAGGAGACGGCACAACCTCCGGAGCCGATGGCCCTCCCGACTCCCCCTGGAGAGCGATGGACGGAGGTACTTGGGAGAATAGCGCGGCAAAAACAGAAGGGGAACACTTCCCCCAACGTGCGGGACAGACCCCAGATTGGGGATCGAAAGAAGGCGTCCCCCCCCCCGGAGAGAAGACCACGGAATCCACCGCGCACCGCGGCGATCCAGATATCCAGTAGGGGGGAAGTGACCTATTAAAATTATGGGGAAATTATGCGGGTCGCTAAAGACAAAATAAGCCTGGAGGAAATGGGCATTACCAACATCCGGCCCAGAAGAGCCCGTACAGGGGCGTTCATGTTGGAGATCCCCGGCGGGGTAGAAGGCACTGCCAAAGCAGATGCCTTAGCGGCCAGGCTACGTCAGGAATTAGCTGACAAGAAAGATGTCCTCATCTCCAGGCCCATGAAGATGACGGAGATGAGGATAAAGGATTTAGAGGATTCCGTCACCTTGGCCGAACTGACCACCCACGTGGCCACGGGAGGAGGGTGTAATCCTGCTGACATCAGGATGGGGCAGTTAAGGAGACCGCCCAAAGGATTGGGCACGGTCTGGGTGAGGTGCCCGCTATATGCGGCAATCCGCCTCACTTTTCGTTCAGGGAACGGAAAACTACCATCGGATGGACGACGGTGAGGACGGAACTCCTTCCCCCCGAGCGCTCCAGTGCTTCCGCTGTCTCGAGATGCGGCACGTGGGGGCGGAGTGCTCGGGAGGGACAGATCGTAGCAGACTCTGCTACAGGTATGGAGCAGAGGGACATGTTGCGAGGTCCTGCACTGCCCCTGTACGGTGTGCCGTATGTGCGGACGCCGGCTTGCCGGCGACCCACCGGATGGGGGGAAGGCATGTCGCCCCCCCTCCCGTGGGAGGAGAAAAGGGCGAACCCCTACAATCGCTAAAAGGCCGAGGGGAGGACAGTAAGAAGGAGCCGAGACGGAGGCTTGCGGGGGTCGCCTCCTGTGGGGGAAGACACCCGCATGGATGTGGAGTCATTTACCCCTGCTCCTACTCCAAGGGACGATGGCCGTGCGGGGGGAACGGCGGGGCAGTATTACCCCGCAGATTCCCCTCCCGCAACGTGCCAAGAGAGGGGTGCCCGGGTCTGCTAGTCAGGCTCGGGTATAGTAGAGGTACGCGGGCGACAACATGATCGCCCGATCGTTGTTCGGTTCCATACCCGGACATTTGTGCTCACGCACCGTGAGGCGCAGAGCGGGGGCTCTGCGTCTCTTATCAACGGTGTGACGGGCCTGGTGGCGGAGGGAGGTGGTGTCCCCCTCCGCCGTATGTTAAATTCGGGATGGGGCGCTCTTGCGCCACGGCGTCAGGTTGGTCTGGTTGTACTGCAGCTGTGAAGATCCCGGACCAGTCGGACAAAGCGCCTCGGATAGGATACTCGCTGGGGTTTTATTGGGTAGGCCCCGCCCGGTTAGTTCTGGGCGGGGAGAGTCCCACATAACCCGGGTTACTTCCCCCGAAGGCCCGGGTATGCGTAATGCATTTCCCCAGCGTTTAAAAAAAAAAGGTTGTACCCTGGCAGGAGTTCCGCCATTGGAACTGGAAGCAATCTACTATGAGGAGGTCTACGAGAGGGTATCGAACCTGAGGGGAAGAGGCACTTCGATCCAAAACAATGAACTGGACACAATTAAGGAGTCATCCAGAAGGAAGTTAGTTAGAAACTGGGGAGAATGGATAAAGGAGATGACTCAAGAAGGGGATACTATCCTGGGTGTGATAGGAGGACAACTTAGGGAATGGTTAAATGCGGAAGTGGGCCTCTCCTTCCGGATGACACAGGTTCTCACGGGGCACGGATGCTTCTGGAGGTTCTTGTGTCGGATCGGTAGGGAGGCCTCTAATAGGTGCTGGCACTGCGATGCCTTAAATGACTCCGCAGGGCACACCCTCAGATACTGTCCTGCGTGGGAGGTTGAACGGGCAGAACTACGCGGAGTGATAGGATTGGACCTATCCTTAAAAGCAGTCATTAAATTAATAAGAAGAGAAGAGGGAAAACAGAAGTTTCACTCTTTCTGTGAAAGGGTTATGTCTCGTAAAGAGGCGGCAGAAAGAGATAGAGAGGGGGTTAATCCCATGACATAAGAGCTACAATTTAATATTAAGACAGATTAGTCTGAGATACTATATAGAATCGGAATAGTAGACGTCTCTGCGTGAGTTAGAGTATTGAGCATTAAGGTAGAGTAGGATGTATAAGAAAAGGGGGGGACATGGGTGTGTTAGAAGAACCACGCAGGGACTTAGATCTACAGAGCTAGGTGGGATGGCTGTACCGGGACAGCCAGATGGATGTATCGAATACAGACATCGAACCCGCAGGGAGGGAGCTTCTCCATCTATAATTTAGCTTACCCTCCCTGCGGCCCACAAGCCCGTTGGGCACATAGGAGGAGGCAACGGTGACACCGAATAGCGGGGTCACCGGCCTTATGGACAGTAGAAATAAGTAGGGTGGACTCGTAGGCCGAGCCGGAGAACTCTCTGGCCCTACGAGGGGAAAACCCATGGAGACATGGACGGGGGTTCATGTCATTGGTAAATATATAATATAAAATTTATTTACAGGTTCGCGAAATCCCCCGGCTGCACCCCCCTTTCTATGTACAATATTTACATTGGTAAGTGTCAGTCTTTTCGATGTCGCAACGATATCTAACGTACACCCGGTATAGCTATCGAGTTCGTATTCGGTGAACATGTTACTTTTTCGACCCTATTGGTCATAGCGGACGCGTTCTCCGTTCTCTCGTACTTTATTGTGTCCCAACAGGAATTCGGGCACAACCGGTATATTCCGTGTGTTCCACTTTTGCCCTTGTGCTCCCCATCGGTCGTAAATAGTAATAGCGGTCGCGTTTTTCGCTGGCTTAGAATTGGCTATGCCGTAACGGTATTTCGGGTACACCCGGTATATATTTTGGGCCTAGAGTCGGCTCCTATATTCGTGTCTAGTCCTATCCGGACATAGCGATTGCGTTTTTCGATCCCGCCCTTATTTCTTTATAAATTGGCAATTTCGCGGACACCCTGTTTTTTCCGGCCCTAATCGCGCGTTGCCATCTATTGTATTTATGACGCGTTTATTCTGAGTGTTTCGGTTTTTCCAAAACTATTGAGGCTAGATGCCTCTAACGCAAAATAAACTTAATACTTAGCCTTCTATGGCGGGCTTTGGCCTTAACTTTATGGACCAAAATAACAAAAATAAAATGGAAAGAAACAAATCCGGATCTTTTATCTTAAACTATAATCCACTAGGCGGGCGTATATATATATATAT